TATAAGTTTCTAAGTCCTCTCTGGGTGTCCTCCTTCAGTGAATTTGCAATGGAGATTAGTGTGAAATTATGACTTTCTTGACATAAAATGGTTTTCAAGTTAAAAAACCGTGTTGGAAATAAAAACTAAATTGGTAATAGTGATTGACTTGAAGAAGGGGAGATGAGATTGGAGGTAGTGGTTAAAGGGACTTCTGCTATTATTCCAGCACTTTATTTCTGCACGAGGAAAAGTAGAATCAAATTAAAAAAAAATATGAAGAGCTGTTAAATTTGAGTATGTGTTACATATTTTTGTTTAAATTTTTTGGATGTTTAAAGTTTTTCTCAAACTGAAAAAGTACATAACACTTGAAAGGAATGTGACTATTCTCTAGTGGCAAGGAATATAACAAAACTAAGAAAAAATATACACTGCATCAGTGGTTCTCAAGCTTATGAAGCCCGTGATTTAGAAAATAAAAATGAAAAAGAATCCCATAGGATCCTTCTTGTTTCTAGTTTCATCTTCCAAAAAAGCCTACAGCAAGCCGCTTGCTGCTATCTTCAGTTTGAAGGTCTGTTTGCAGCTCTGACTCACCAGCCTCTAAAACCCACAAATATTCAGTGGATGTACTGAAACGAGCAAAGCAGTGTTGCTTGAGAGGAACATCACAAAAAGACCATAGGATTTAATTTTATGTTTTTAATGTACCATTTGGTGACAGAATAGAAAAAAGAACTATTATATTGACTGATGCTGTATCTCAGAGGAGGCGTGATTAAGAGACAAAATATGGTTACTAATATGGAAAAGTGATCGAGAAAACAGAAAGTAAAATTTAATAAGGATATCACTATTGGCCAAAATGGGAAAATATGGACTAACCAGCAAAAAGAAAATAGTTGGGATGAACTTGAACAAGGATTAGGAACTTAAAAAATCGAGCTATAGTTCATAGACTATAGAATGTACGAATTGGCCAACTAACAATCTTACCATATGGCTAGCACTTTAGTGAGGAACCTAATTAATTACTATTTGATGAGCACAATAAACACAAAAAGAAGTGAGCACAGTGGTTGGAACATAGGACTGAAGCAGACAGCAGGAAGCCAGCTGTTTGATCCAGCCAGGCTGTTTACCCTCCTGTGCCTCAGTGTCCTCACTTGCAAAACAGAGATGGCAAAAGCACTGATCTCATAGAGTTGTAGTGAACAGTAAAGAGATAAAACTTGACAACAGTTTAGAAGAGTGCTTGGCACACTTTAGTTGCTATGTACATGTTTATTTAAGAAACAAAAATAATAGAGGAATTACTCTTCTAGAGAAGAGTAAAAATTATTACAAACCTAATGGTCTACAAGGAAATGTTAGGGGTACTAGCATAATTCATTTTGTAAAACTGAGCCAGTAGAGGCATAATTAGTAAAAACAAAAACAAAAAACTGCTGCCCAAGTACCGATAAAAATATTTCTACCATAGTCAAGAGAATTCATAGTAGGGAAGATGAGACACAAAGAGTACCCCTAACCTTTTATGTGCAGCTAAGTCTGACAAGTCTTCAGTTGCCTTTTGCTCTTACCACTGCTAAGAATGTCTTGGTGGGTTAAAAATAATTATTTCCATGAGACTTCAGAAAGCTTTCACAATTGCTATTTTCTCCCAAAACATTTATTTGCTCTGGGACTTTGTGGATTTCAAAATTTATATTGTTATAGTCAATCTTCTTCAGCCTCAGGAAAGCTTTGCATGTTAAATTATGCTGTGATTTTTGAGATACACTTATGTTGAGGTAACACTGGTTCATAGCCTCATGTAATTTTTGGATGTCAAATGCTATAATTCTACCTCCCTCAACATCAGATCACTATCACACCAAAAGTCTAGTTTCCATCTATCTCCACATACTTGGCCCCTTGCCCATTATGCTGTGCGCTCAGCATGCCATCAGTCTCTCCAGGTTATTTGATTTGAAGATGATGAGTACTATAGTTTTATACTTCATTTTATCTCATTTGATTTCACATAGAAAATATACACAAAAATCTGAAGGTGAAAGGCAGCTGTTTTAACAATAACCATTCATCAAGCAATATTTTAAACATCCCAGGGGTTACAGCACTAATAAAACGCAGTCAATGGTCTAATACATACATAGATAAGAGGCCTCTATTCAGTTCTAAAACCACCATCAGCGCCCCAAGGTAGGGATGGGTGATCATAGGGGAGTTTGAGAATTAGCACATATCTAGTCATTTCAGCAAATACTTACTGAGTGTCCACTGTGCACTGGGAACCATACAAAGCACTTGCCTCATGACTGGTAGACTTTACCTAACCTGCAGGTTATTCTTCAGTTCCAATCCCACCAACCTCCATTTAGTTATCAAGGCTTCTAAAATTAGCCAGTAAAACCTATTTAAATATGTCCATCCCTTCCATTCTCAGTGTCAATATATTTGTTCAGCCCAGCAATTTTATCTGGATTATTGCCAATAACCTTCTAGTGTTTTCCTGAGTCAAGTCTTAGCTGATTCTGATCTGCTCATAGATTGTGGTCATAATAGTTCTTGCTTTAAGTCTATCACATTACATTCAGAATAAAAATGCAACTTCAGCAAGGCCTGTAAATCTGCTATAAGGCCCACACGTTTCTATTGTCATCAACACACATTATCCCATGCCACACTAAGCTGCATCTCACGTCCTAGTTTTTAGATAGCCTGATTTTGATAATCATAACACCACTTTCTTTTTGTTCTGCACTTAGAAAAATGCCTACTTACCCCTTAAGGCTCAGTTTGAGCACCAACTTCTTCAGATATCTTTCACACTATCACATACATAAACTCAGGAGGTTGGCACCACTCCTCCAGGTTCCCAAAGAACCTGTATGTGCCTCTTTCCTGACTCACACACAACACTGTATTACACATTGCTGAATTCTCCCCCACTGACAAGCACCTCTAAGTTGCGATCAATATCATCATCTGTATACATCATCAGTGTCTAAACAGCCATTGACAAACAATGAGAACCTGATAGTCACAAATTAGATGAATGAATTAATATAGAATGAATAAACCTGACCTCTATTCTCAGAAAAGTTCCTTATTTAGTCGGGTAGACATAACTGGGGAAAGAGGAGAGAATGCTTAAGATTTAGAAACGAACTATAATGTAGATCTTAGTGAGTTAAGAATGTGGGGTATGTGGCATGAAACCAATATCTATTAGTTTCTTTAAATATTTAGTGCCTAAAATGTGCCAGGCACTGGTTGGTCCTCTGCACACATCCTTTCATTTGATTGTCATAAACGCTCTGCGAGTTCAATTTGATATGTACAGAAATTTCAATTTAATATTTACAGGAATTATGAATTAAGAAGTAGAAGGTCACAAAAAATTTAATGGTGAAGACATGATTTGAGCTCTGATATCTGAGTTCTTTCTATCACAATGGTACAAATTCAGCTTTATGGAGCTTCGGAGGAGGGAACAGTTATGTTCAGAAAAGCTTCTGTGTGAAGAAACAATGGGCCAAATGTTGAAGGATTAGTGGGAAAAGAGTGCAATTTTGAAGGAGAAATGAAGACAGGCATAGACACAAATTTAAAACTTGTAAAACAGAGAATGGTCCAGCCCAGAATAAACTGAGCACACAGGAAGAAAATACCACTGGAGGAAGAGGTTAAGACTATATTGGAGGACCTGGGAACTCTATAACAGGTAGCAATATTTAAAAAGTAACCAAGTACACACATAGGTCATACTAATGACTAGACCCGTGCTGTCATCTTCATATACAAAGGGCAAATGCAAACAAATGAAAAATCTGGTAACATAAGTAATTCAAAGTCCAAAGATAATTCTGATTTTAATATCGAACTTTACTTTTATCTAAGGAGGAAAGAGTTAAGTAAGTTGACATATCAAGTGTCCTCTTTGGTGTCAAATGAACACAATGTTGTGGAAAAACATGTGAACAAATGCATTTCACATTTGCCAATGTAGTCTCTTCTGTTCGAAATATGCACCATGAAAGTAATTAGATCCACTAATCTTTTGAATTACCTAAGTCACTCTCTTAGGACAATATCTTTATCTTGCTTTTTAACTAAAGCCATGAATTTCTCAGCTTGCTCATTTTGAGAGCTGAGCATTAAAATGTAAGATGGCCATAGTTACAAGTACACTGGTTGTATGTTTTACTCCTGTGTTTGGTGATGATTTTACCTATCAAGACTATGTTATGCATAACTCATTAGTAATTTTGTTGGCATGAATCCATAAACTAAATTGACTGGACCGACTGTTTAGATGGTAACATCGCAAACCTTTTAAAAGGGATCTAAAATAAACAAAGGCAAAAGCCTAAGTAGGCCAGCCATAGATCAGAGAAGTCCTAAACATTTTTTTTGATGCTATTTATGGGTCCTTTAAAACATATGTTCTCTCATAGCAAGTTTGTGAGTTTAAATTTCATGGCAAATATAGCCCTAAAGCTGTATATAATAAAGAAAAAAACTGCATTGAAATTAGAGGGAATGTTTAACAAATTAGTTTAATAAAAATTCCTCAATCTTATATATCTAAAATAGAAATGAAGATTTACTTCCTCCATATTTTTGAGTTTCTTATCCCACATCTAAGATTCATGTGGTTTATTGTTTCTCCTTGTGAGCTTTTTTAGTTCTGTTAGAGAGTGGACTTACCCTCTACATATTTTTCTTCTAATTTAAAAGCCTTTATGTTGATGAAATCTGTTTCTAGAATGTAATGATCATCACTCTCTGTCCACAAAACATCTATTAATTTATGTTTATAAAGCATTAGTCACCCTAAAAATAAATTTTGCATGGTTTTATTACCTTTAACAGAGAGGGGAGATAAGAGCAGGAAGAAGAGAAATGAAATTTGTTTATAAAATGACCTTTGAGAAAGTATTTTTAAATTGTTGTAGGAGGAAAATAAATGATTAAACCAGATTTTTAGAGGTTTTATCTTAACCTCTTACCTGTGCAGTTGGATATATTCTCGGGGTCTGTTGAGCAGGTGAAGGAATCTATCGACAATCTTGTTTTTTCCTACACCCTGTAATTATACAAAAATATTAAACAAAATGAGACACTAATCTGGAGTAAAAAAGACAGAAGACTTTTCTACCAAATATACTTTCTTAAAGTTGTACTATTTTAACTTATGTTTAATGAAAACCAAACTGGCAATCACATTTAGCACATATATATATGTGACATAAAGGTTTTTTATTTTTAAATTCTTTAATTTTTACACATAAAGGCTTTTTATTTTTAAATTCACTTCTAAATATACTAGTTCTAAGCCCTTCTTATTTTAAAAATAAATTCATAATTATTTTTAGTCTCCTATAATTTTCTGTTTTCTGTTCTATAATTTTAGACTTTACAGCAGAGTATTAACTGTTTTAGATTTAAAGAGTGGCATGAAATATGAACAAGTAAGTGTAAAAACTGATTTTTCTAATTAGTTCTTTACAAGTATGATTTTCAATTATAGGATGATAAATATTAAAGTGTACTTCTGCTTAAATCAAATACTGATTTCTTCTTTAATCATAGAGTCCTTTAAATCCCTGAAATCGGGCCTCCCCGGTGGCGCAGCGGTTGAGCACTGGGTTGCGAAGCTGCCCGCAGCCTCTGCAGCGCTGGTTCCATCCCCGGCCACCGGGCGAGGGTCCCACATGGCGCGCAGACCTCTCCTGCAGCCCGCTGCTCCCCTCAGCCATGTACTTCGTCTGTCTGCCTGTTCTGCTCTCTGCTCTGGCTTCAGTGAATTCTCTCACCCTCCCGACTTCTGACTGTACCCAATGCTTGTATAAATAAATAAATAAATCTTTACCCAAAAAAAAAAAAAAAAAAAAAGAGCTTCCTTTAAAAATAAATAAATAAATCCCTGAAATCTAAAATTACAACCAATGTTTATTAATATGTCTCAACTATATGTTATAGGTATTATACTAGCTGAGAGCGGTATATAATTGCAAATAAAATAGCTACAGCACCTGGTGACATTCACAGCTTATAATCTAGTAGGAAACACAGGCAATTAAGCAAGTATAATAGATAACACATATGATGAGTGTTTTGCTCTGGGGCATCCAAGACACTTAAAAATTTAATCTAGGGGCTAAGGAAGGTTCACCACACACATTGATACTTAAGTTGCAATATTAAGGAATTAAAGAACTAAAAAGAAAGGAGAAAGAGGGTGTTCTAGGTACAGAGAACACAGTATGTAAATGTTAGTGGGTGACAGTGAGCGGGAGAGCTGCATAGGTCTAGAAGAAGCCAAAGACAACATAGGAGTGAAGGGGAGAATGGCAACTAAGTCTAGAATGGTAGGCAAGGTCTAGCTTTGACAACATTTTTGGAAAACCACTTAAAAGAGTTTTACTTAAAAATAAATTTTAATTTATTAAAATTCTCATTTTTCCTAAAAGCAATGAGAAGCCAACGAAGTAAATTTTGATTTTTGGAAAATCATTCTGGTCTAGCTGTGAGTAAGAATGAAAACAAAGAAGAGAAGTTTGTAAACTCATTAAAAATTTTAGGCAGGCGATGAAGGTAGGTTAAAGTAAGGAGAAGAGAAAAAGGGATGGTTTTGAGAGAAATTTAGGGAAAAGAACTGACAAGATGTGATAGTTCAGATGTGATGACTGGATGAGGAAAGGAAGTCTGATTATCTGTCTTGAGCAACAGGGTAGAAAGTGGGAACATTTGCTGAGATGTGAAATGGTGGCACTATTTGAGAAATACGAGAAAAGTGTTTTTGTTGGTGAGGGAGGAAAGTCTAGTTTTTCAAAAGGCAGCTTAATTTTGGAATATGTTACTTTGAAGTGTCTGTTTCCAGCATCTGCTGCTTTCTTTTCAATTCACTGTCACTACAAAGGCAGTCCATCACCTACTCAGACTCCTAGGGAGGGTCCTGTCTGATCTCCCACCTCTGGACCCACAATAGTCCAGTCAACAATTTGTTATTTTTCCAAAACAGATCTTGTCAGGCATTTCAAATTTTACTTTTTCCAATTTCATTTTAAAAGCTCTGGTAGTGTTTTCTAGGAAATGCTAATAGCCTAACCAAGAAGAAATTTCTGTAAATATCCTGAGCAAAGTAGAAGAGTTATAGTGACCTGCTCTATCTAATCACAGTCATTGTCTAGAACAGAAAATCCTCAGGATCACTTTAATTGAATAAATACAAAATTAGTATCTTCTTTTTCCATTATAAAAGGTACATACTCATTTTTCTCACTGGGAAATTTACAAAACAAAACATTATTCAATGTGCAACTGCTAAAACAAATCTGCTACCTTTCATTTTGTTCCTGTGCATATTTATCTTTACTTACTAGTCATTATTCTATGTGTAATTTGTATATTTTTATTGAAAACCAGCACAAAATAGTTCTCATATCATTATTAAAACTTTTTGAAGATCATATTTGAGTGAAAATTTTAAAGAGTAGAAAGATCTTGAGAATTGAGATCCTAAAAAATACATATCATCTCAGGAGCCTGGTGTTTTCATCACCACAGTTCTGTCCATTGTGTTCTTTGTGACAATGTATGGGGAAGAAGGACCCTCATAGAGTTGGGAGTCAGCGGGCCCTTTAACTACAGGGTTAGGCGAAATAGGGAATACGTTGTCACACAGACAGGAATCAAATTGAGGACAAGAACAGGCTTCCAGTTTCTGTGAAAAGATCAGAAACCATGACTTTAGCATATCTTGAAAGAGGTACAAAGTGGTGCCCCTAAAATATGTACAGTATTGTAAATCAATGTTACTGCAATAAAAAATGATTTCATCATAAGTGAAAATACATAAATAAAATCCTTATCTTAAGAAAACTTTGAAGGATTCTGCGACTCCTTTGACTTTCTCAGGTTTATTTTATTAGCCTGTTTCCTCAGAGACATTAGCAGTAAAATCTTTATAAGAAGAAGGGCTTCAAGGCCTTCTTGAAGAAAAGAAGAAAATATAGAATTTGGGAAAAATCTATCCATACTCTGTCAAAGTGGAGAAGGAGCAAGGAGCAGGGTAAGAGAAAACGGATGAGAGGAATGAGAGCAGGCAAAGAGAAAATGAGTCTTGAAAAGAGATTTGGGCTAAGAGCAATTGTCCTGGGACTTAATGTTAAAGGGTCAGTGACAGGCCTTGAAGGACCTTCCAACAGGAGATAAGCCTACAAGCTTGCTGTGTCAGCCCTCTGCAAGATTCATTAAAACATGTTCCTAATCAGCCCACTGTCATCAGAACCTCTGCATTCCACATTTTTGCACATATATTTTTTCTGACTAGAAAAGCACATTCTCCCTATCATTCTGTCATCTTCCACTCCCCCCTTAGTGTTCTGATGAAAACTCACTTCTCTGAAGATTTGTCTTTGATTACCTTCTCCCCTTCAGCTTTGAGACTAGAATAGTTTGTTACTTTGGGGTCCTAAACCACAGTCTCTCATAGCACTCACCACTCTGTACTCTAGTAAACTGTCAGGCCCCTCAATTCTGAGGACTGGGCTCCTCATTCATGTCCCTATCACCAGTGACTCACATATAACCTGTAGGTAGTAACTATTAAAATTTGAGGGAAGAAGGGAAAGGGAAGTCAAGTGACTTCTTCTTACTAAAGGAGAGAGAAACCTCTTCAGGGAAACTAATGCTCACTTTGTGCAAATAAAGAAGGAAACAAATATTTATGGAGCCCTCTTCTGTGTGCACACAACCCTTTTGGTGCCAATCACTTGAGTCTTCATGACAGCCCTGTGAGTGGGAGGTAATGTACCTCTTTTGGAGAGAAGCAAACTTAAGTGCTTAGCAGTGAAGAACTCTGCACAAATGGCATCTAAGTAAACAGATGGGGCTCTTTTCTGTTTCACCATATTGCAAAACAGAATGTCAAGAGGTGGCCTCTCTGAACTAATCTGCATGAGACTTTATATTCTGGTGTCGTGGAGTCAAAGATCAATCACTCCAAGGTTATAATATAGTTTAAAACACGTGTCCAGGAACTCCCTGAGTGGTATCTAAATTTCAGGAGGGGGACAATCAGGAAGACAAGCTAGATCTTTTTTTTTGCATTAATTTTATAATGGGTTCCAAATTACTGCCACTGCCAGTGTTCAGTTTCCTTTCCTGCTCTCTGGAATGTCTCAACTTTGGGCCTTCTTCTACTTTCCCTTAACTCTCTAATAACTTTAGCAGAGTTAATCAGTTTATACAATATTTAGAAATTTTTTTTGTACAGCGTCCTAATTTCCTTTTTAGAAAAGCTATTAAATGAAAGTCTTTAGCAAATACCAACAGCAGTCAAAGATAACAAAATAAATATTTCAGTAAAATCTGGAGAAATAAATTGATACTGCTTATTTTTTAATCTTAAAATTCCCAGCAAGTGTTAAACCTTCTAATTAGGACACTAGGACTACGATCCCTGCTTAATTTCCCTTAGGTGGAGGTTCTACCACCATCTGAGTCAAGGTTTGCTCATTTAAAAAGAAGGCCTGGATAAGTGGATCTCTACATATTACCTGATTCTAATATTCTTTAATCCTGTAATAAAATAAAAGAAGCTGCTCTTATATGATCACTGGAAATTTCTTATATTCCAAAAGAATTTGGAAGATTGAAAGAAAACAATCCTAACCTTTGCATAAATGGATTCTCTGTGACAAACCAACAAGTAGAACACCAGAGTCATGTGCATGGTCTAAGGCAGACTTACTAATATAGCTTCCTGTTAAAGTCATAAGCTCCTTCAAACAGGAATAATAAAATCCACATCCTGCAATTTCCCTTTGAAATAGTGAGCAGCTATAAATGTCAAAGACATACTTTGGGATAGTTTGGTTATTTAAGCATGACCAAAGCAGCCACTATGAACAGTGTGTGTGGAGGGAGGGGAAGGCAAGGTGGTGGGGGTAAAGGTGGAGAAAGGAATCAATGTGTCTGTAAGGATAAGACATAGATTCAAAATAAATATAAGAAAAATACTAAGAAACACTGGATACAAACTAAATAGCAGAGAGAATGTGGCAGAATGGCAAAAAAAAT